TCTGGCGCTGTCAGGCAGCAGTGCTAACCACTGAGCCACCGTGCCACAGTTGTTCTTTCAAAATGTGGGTCAGATATCCTCATCTCTAAAAGGCAAACTGGCATGCAAAAACTTTCCCCAGAGCAATAGAAGCAATAAAACAGTAGTGAAGTGGTGAGCAGTTCCATTAGATCACTCTGCTACAAATTAGCATAACATGGTCATTATATTTAAGGCTACATAATTTCAGGGAGACCATTCCCTTATGATCACTATCAAGTTGTCATTCATCCTGAGAATGTTCCTTGAGATGTTGTCTTTCAGCATTACTTTAATGCTTCAGATTTCAATGAGAATGTACTAATCCCTTGCTGTTCCTCAGTATCTTATCTGACAGAACTCAATGCAGTGGGCTGACATCAAAATGTTATAACTGTGAAATTGAACATACATTTACAAAGAAGTGGTGTCTTAACAAATTGATGCCACCAACATGCCCTCAGTAAACCGGTTTCTTTCTCTCCCTTTCATTCTATCTAGGTGCAGATCCAAAGTCCTTGGGTGTGGAGGGAAGCCAGTTTTGTGGAATGCCCTGGTGATTTGGGTGGTGGTCCCTTGCTGCCTTTCCAGCCAGATGGCCCACATACAAACTCACCCTCCTTGGCTTCAGCTGCTGCAGGGCACTTACGGAGTGCCTAGAGAAGAATCTGTCAAGGTGCCCGCAAATCTCTCCTCCATGCAGATGGCACGTGGCACCACACTTTCTCTGAAAGGACGGGGCACCTGGAGTGAGGTCAAAGTCCTTTATTTACTCTCTCACTTTGCCCTAGATGCTGCTTACCTATGGCCAAAGTCACAGATTGCAGACCCAAGTGCCTTATCTAGTAGCTTAGTGTTCTGTTGGAGTTGGGTTCTGCAAGGCAACCAGCATACATTGCAGGGAGGCAGCCATGTGCTCAAAGGCCATAGCAACCACAATAGGAAGAATGTGGTAGGACTCCTCAAGCCCAGCAAGGACCTCTGCTGCACTTGCCTGATGTTCCTGTCTGTTTCTGCAGGTTGACCATGCCAGTTATGGCCAAGTAGAGAGGCATGTCAGCATGGAGCTGAGTAGTTGTCTGGTCTCCAACAGTCCTCAGGTGTTTTTATTTATTCTATTTGTACATTCGTGGATGTGGGCGTTGCTGGCTGGCCAGCATTTATTGCTTGTCCCTAGTTGCCTTTGAGAAGGTGGTGGTGAGCTGCCTTCTTGAACCACTGCGGTCCACCTGCCGTGGGTTGACCCACAGTGCCAGTAGGGAAGGAATTCAGGATTTTGACCCAGCAACTGTGAAGGAGCAGCGATATATTTCCTAGTCAGGATGATGACCGGATTGGAGGGGAACTCAAATGGTAGTGGTGTTCCCATACATTTGCAGCCCTTATCCATCTAGGTAGAAGTGGTAATAGGTCTGGAAGGTGCTGTCTGAGGATCTTTGAATTTCTGCAGTGCATCTTGTAGATAGTACACTGTTGCTACTGAGCGTTGTTGGTGGAGGGAGTGGATGCTTGTGGATGTAGTGCCAATCAGGCAAGCTGCTTTGACCTCGATGGTGTCAAGCTTCTTGCGTGTTACTGGGGCTGCACCCATCCAGGCAAGTGGGCAGTATTCCATCACATTCCTGACTTGTAGATGGTGGACAGACTTTGAGGAATCAGGAGGCGAGTTACTCACCGCAGTATTCCTAGTCTCTGACCTGCTCTTGTAGCTACTGCGTTTATGTGGAGAGTCCAGTTGAGTTTCTAGTCAACGAAAACTTCCAGGAAGTTGATCGTAGGGGAGCCAGTGGTGGTGATACGATTGAATGTCAAGGGGCGGTGGTTAGATTGTCTCTTATTCGTGATGATCATAGCCTGGCATTTGAGTGGCACAACCGTTACTTGCCACTTGTCAGCCCAAGCCTGGATATTGTCCTGATCTTGTTGCACTTGAACATGGACTGCTTCAGTGTCTGAGGAGTCACAAATGGTGAACATTGCACAATTATCGACAAATATTCCCACTTCTGACATTATGATGGAGGGAATATCATTGATGAAGCAGCTGAAGATGGTTGGGTCTAGGTCACTACCCTGAGGAACTCCTGCAGAGATGTCTTGGAGATGAAATGACTGACTTCCAACCACCATGACCATCTTATGTGTCACGGAGGACACAAGAGGGTGAGTTGATATGAGCCCTTGAATCGATATCATGCATGTGATGTTCTGAAGTGTAATCCTTCACCCTTGCTGAGATGTGTGCGCAGTGGCAGAGGTGGTGTAACTGATGGAGCTGAGAGGGAGATAAATGAGAGAAGATTTTGTCACAAACTTTGCAGAGTGTAGGACATCAATGATGCTTTTCCAGCTCTGCTGACTGTTGGTTTTGCTGAGGCTAGTGGCATTCACCCAGGCTGCAATCTTTGCCCTGGCTGGACTGGTATGGTGAGCTGACCTCCTGATGCAGTCACCCAGGCAGAGATCTGACCACATCTAAGTGACGCTATCCACTAGTACATGCAGTGCAGTGTCTACGAACTACAGGGCTAGCGTAGCCTTCTTCAGAGCAATTGCTAGGAGTGACAGTTCCAGGCTTGCAGTGTCTGAAGTGATGTCCATGGAACAAGGGAGTGTTCAAACCCGGAAAAGAACTTCTGGCTTGCTTGCCATGCCATTCACTGATTAACATGTGCAACATCTCATTTGCATCAATATTGAGATAAAAAGCCTGTCATAGCTCACCACAGCATGTCGTGGTTATTATGTCATTCAACATGTTCACTACTATTATTTAAGTTCAAATGGAAAATTCTGCCTTCCATTTCTCAATGAGTCTGCCAGATCTGAGAAGTTTTGCTAACATTAAATGTTCATATTTTAAGAAGTCTAGTTGTCATAAAAATTAGAGGCAATAGATCTACTTGCTCTTTCAAAAGTGCTGGAGGAAGGGGAAAGAGAAAGTAGCAATAATCATACAGAAATGAATATTGTTACAATACTTTGCTAATAAAATTGTAAATGTTGGCTGATTTAATCATAACAGATTACAGCAACTAGATTCTTAATAGAATTGACTCTACATTTTAACTCTTCTTTCAATAGGTTGTACAAGACCTCAGCTCTTCCAAGTAACATCTTCCTTGGTGTTCTACTTATGCAAAGAAGTTTGCAGAATGTAACCAAGTATTGGTGAACATTTTATTTAGTCAAGATTAAAAAGGTGTTTTGTTTATGATGTATGTTTGCAGAATGTTACTGACTGCTAAGATACATGCAAATACGTTTAACTTTACTCAGATGCACTTTGCTCATAGGTTCTTGTTTGTGCTGGGATAAAGCCCATGTGTCCAAAATGCATAATGAATTATTGAAGATATAATAGTTAATGAAAGAACATGGACAATTTTTTGTAGTTTAAAAGTGTTAATGTATTACACGAAGTATTTAAATATCCAAAAACCTCAATTTTAAGTTGAAATTTTCAACTACTTGAACAGAAGTTTAAAATCTTAAACTATATCAGGGTTTATTGTTAACAAAGTTTCCTGGTATGTCATGTTAATTAACGAACCTCACATTTTCTAAAGGCATTTATAGAAATGGAAGGATAAAGGTAACCTCACTAGAAGTTCCATTATCTACTACTAGAAGTTAAAATTATTGTCACACATACAAGTATCCCATACCCCATACAACAAACATGTTGCTCTATCAAAAAAAAACTTACTGATGCACATATTTCCACTCCCTTCTCCATTAAGATACTAATCAGACAACACTACTGAAACTGTCACACAATCACACATTCAAAATACCACAGGGAAAAAAAAAGTGTCTCAAATATTGCATTTAAAAAAATGACCCTTAAATGAAATGATGTGAATTATTTCATGTCATGAAAAGCTGACTAAGGCATCATTAGTTACCACCAAATGCTCAGAGTCATCCTGGCAGTCATATTGATTTACACAGCAACGTGAGAGGAGACAGAAAAAAGGATTGGCTGATCCATCACATCTGTTCCAATTCTGATGGATCATGACCCTCCTTGCCAATTCACAGGCAGTCATGTAATATCCTGACAAGGTAATGCAAACAAAAATAATCCTAAACTAATTAAGAGGAAAACAAAAAGTAGGAAACTCCTCTGATGAATCAAGACAAACAATATGTATTCCAAACATCATAGTGACCTTAAGATACAGATCCAAACATCACGGTTTTTTAAAAAAAACATATAATGCTCATCATACATGCTGACTTTGGCTCACACATTAATAAATCTGCAAAGTGAAACCAGTCAGTTCCTTGCATGTATTGCTTACGTCCACCATCAATTGTTTGCCCTAATCTAACAAGTTCAAACAATCTTTCTGCACATATTGAAATATCCAAAATGACAAAAGGGACTCAGTCCAAAGCCTAAAACTTTCCAGGAGGGAGAAAACAATTCAGGTCTTTTAAAGCCTGCCATGAGAACCCAAGATCTTCAAACTAGGATTCTTCCATTGGCTCATTTTAAAGCATTTTCCAGTGTCTCAATTATCCCTTATAAGAGGATGATAACTAGACATCATTCAGGGTGATTACAATCACACATTCATTTCATAACACAAAAACATCAAATTCTTTCAAATATTGCTAGATCATGCATCAACTAACACAATGTATTAGCATTTGTTCTTCATCCTCTCCTTGGGTAGTACTAATCCTACATCTGAAACTAGCAACTTTAATTCTACTCTATTTCTTATGCTGTCCTGGGCTTGATGCCCAAAATGTTCCAACATATAAATTAATTTACTCTTTTGGAGATCTCTGCAAATGCATGTGGCACCAATTTGGACATCAAATGTTGCTGCAACTACTCTATCACTACTGAAAAAAGTCTATACGGAAAGTGCTTTCTGACACCTATTGTTGAAATCTGACAGCGTGCATTCAAAAACATGTATTCTTTCGAACAGCATAACAGGGAAATAATTCTAATCTGATCTTACCATGTGATGATTACAACTTGCAAATGAATTGCTAGTATTGCTGCTATTACGGCTGTCAAAAAATGTTGGGATCCGTAGATGCAGACTCTGCAGAACGTATGTTGTTTGCATCTATAAAGTGAAGAAAACTTGAATATTAAGCTAAACCAAAAAAGTAATTTATCAGTGCTGTTTATGCAAAATACATTGAAGACTTGAAGATGTAAAACAACTTATGCTGACATTTTTAAAATACTGTGTTCAGTTCTGGTCTCCCTGCTATAGGAAAGATGTTGTTATTTTTGAACCATTTCAACTTTAAAGGGACTTAAAGTGCTGTTGCCAGAGTTAGAGGGTTGGAGCTGCATGGGGATGCTGAATAGGCTTGTACTTTCTTCCCCCTGGAGCATGTGAGGCTGAGAGGTGACTTTATAGAGGTTTATAAAATCATGAGGTGCATAGACAAGGTGAACAGCCAAGGGCATTTTCCAAGGGTGAGGGAGTCCAAAACTAGACAGCATAGGCTTAAGACGTGGGAGGAAAAATTTAAAAGGGACCTAAGGGGTAACTTTTTGACACAGAGGGTGGTACATGTATGGAACAAGCTAGAGGAAGTAGAGGTAGGTGGGTACAATTACAACATTTAAAGGGCACCCAGATGAGTAAATGAATAGGAAGAGTTTAGAGACATATGGGCCAAATGCTGGCAGTTGGGACTAGATCGGTTTAGGATACCAGGCTGGCATTGACAAGTTGGACCAAAGGGTCTGTTTCCATGCTGTACAACTCTATGGCACCTACTTTGCATGTCTACACAACATAATTCAAACAATTTAATATTTTGTCCATTGAAAGCATGCAAAATTACATCTGACCTGGAAGTAAACTGTCCAGTAAGGAATAAGTGCCAGGAATACTGGGATAATTTTGACAAAGGACTTCACATCTTCCACTTTGTTATCTTGAAATCGTCCACCATGGACAGTCTTGGCAAGGTCCAAAAAGCCTGGCTGAATAGGTGGTGGGCAGATTCCACTGCTCTGACTGAAATAAAGAATCAAATATTTTATCATTCATCTTACTTATGAAAAAATCATGAATAAAACCTCCTCTCCATTCAGATTACATTAAAACTGACGCAACCAGTGTTATAGCCAATACAAACAAATCATAACATTTCCAAAAATACAGATCCTAAAACGTTCAGCATTAAAATATGAAAACAAGTTAAAACAAGCATCTTCTGATAACCGTTTAAGACCATAAGGTCTATGAGTATAATTAGGCCATTCAATCATGGTTGATATGTTTCTCATCCCCATTCGCCTGCCATCTCTCTAACTCTTGATCGCTTTGACTAAATCAAGAACCTGTCTTAAATACACTGAAAAGACATGGTCTCCACAGCCCTATCAAAATATATTCCACAGGTTAACCATCCTCAGTGGCTGAAGAAATTCCTCCTTATCTCAGTTCTAAAGTGCTGTTCCTTCACGAAGGCTGTGCCCTCTGATCCTAGTCCCTCCTATCAGTGGAAACATCATCTTCACGTCCACTTTATGCAGGCCTCTCAGTATTCTGCAAGTTTTAATGATATCCTTTTTCTAAGCTCAATCGAGCACAGACCCAGAGTCCTCAACCGCTCCTCATATAACAAGCCCTTCATCCCCAAGATCATTCTTCTAAACCTCCTCTTTACCCACTCCAAGGACAGCACATCCTTCCTTAAATACAGGGCCCAGAACTGCTCACAATATTCCAAAGGTAGTCTAACCAGAGCCTTATGCAGCCTCAGCAGTACATCCCAACTCTTATATTCCAGCCCTCTTGAAATGAATGCTAACATCGCATTTGCTTTCCTAACTGCCAACTGAACCTGCATGTTAACCTGAAGAATTGGACTCCCAAAATCAATTTGTGCTTCAGATTTCCAAAGCCTTTCGCCATTTAGGAAATAGTCTTCCTACTAAATTGCATAACCTCACTTTTCCACATTGCATTCATCTGCCACTTCTTTGCCCACTCTCCTAGCCTGTCCAAGTCCTTCTACAGCCTCCCAGCTTCCTCAACACTACCTGTCCCTCCACCCATCTTTTGACATCTCCAAACTCAGCAATATCTTTACTTTCTTCATCCAGACTGCTAAAGTATAATGTGAATAACTGTGGTCCCAACACTTACTTGCGTAGAACCGTATTTATAGAAAATATAAACAAAGAAACTAGGAGCATTTGGCCCCTCCAGCCTGCTCCACCATTCAATATGACCATGGCTGATCATCCAACATATACCCAGTCTCTGCTCTCTCCCCATACCCTTTGATCCCTTTAGCCATAAAAACATCCAAAAGTTTGGCCTCAGCCACTTCCTATGGCAGAGTGTTCCACAGGCTCCTTACTCTAGGTAAAGAAATTTCTCAGTCCTAAATGGTTTACCCCGTATCCATAGATTGTGACCTCTAGTTCCGAAATCCCTGGTAATTATGAACACCCTTCCTGCATTTACCCTCTCTAGTCTTGTTAGGCCTTGGAGGTTTTTTTTGAGATCTCCACTCATTCTAAATTCCAATGATGATAGTTGTAGGTGACCCAATCTATCTTCAAGGTAGTCCTGCCATCCTACGAGACAGTCTGGTAAACCTTTTTTGCGCTCTGTCCATAGCCAGAACTTCCTTCCCCAGAGGAGACCAAAACTGCACATAATACTCCAGGTGCAGTAACACCAAAGGTCCTCTACAACTGCAGGAAGACACCCCAAATCCTGTTGCTTAAAACCAAATTACCATTTGCTGCCTTCACCACCTGATGCACCTGCATGCTTATTTTCAGTGACTGCTGTACAAGGATGCCCAGGTCTTGTTGCACCACCCCCTTCTAAAGCCATTAAAAAAATAATCTGCCCTCCTGCTTTTGCTACTAAAATGGATAATTTCCCATTTATCCACATTATACTTCATGTGCCATACATTTGCTGAATTACTTAACTTGTCTAAAATCAGCCTGAAGCATCTCCACATGCTTCTAACACTGACCCTCCCACTCAGCTTTGTGTCGTCCAGTTTAACAGACTAAAGTCCATGCAATAAACTTTGTAGTGCAACACAACATTAACTGTGTCTCTGAAAAGATTTCCTTTTAACATTGAATAGTTGTGACTATGAGGTATATGCAATTTCGAGCTAGTTTTAAAAGTCCACCCCTTCGGCAAGAAATATTCTTTCAAACATTTTGTCCTAGCAAATATGTATAACAGAGAGGGGCAATTAAAATGTCTAGACAGTTGCTCTAATGGCAACAAAATCAGCTAGCGAGACAACATATCATCAAAATACAATTTTTAAAAACTCACGATTATCATGCAACCTTTACCTGGTATTTTCTTCACTATTGGATTTCCTTGAAAAGCAGGAATAAAAAAGGATCTTGAACAAATCTGAGAAGGAACTGCCATCAGGTGGCTTCGAGATAAAGACTGATTTGCCGCATGCAAAGACCAGGAAAGAGATTCCCATACAAACAGTTGGGATACTGTATCCAAGAAGAAAACTACAATTTTGTTGAATATACGATATGCCACCCAACGAGACAATAGCACCCAAATTAATCGACCAATAGAACCAGTTGAAAAAACGACGTGTAGCTTCAGGACCTCTATCTTTCACCTGTACAAAACAAAATAAAAAACAAACAAACATTCACTACCACTACACCAAAATTTCATTTAATCCAACCAGCCATCTTATAACCACCATACACAAAATACATGATAAAAACCAAAAGAACTGCGGATGCTGTAAATCAGGAACAAAAACAAAGTTGCTGGAAAAGCTCAGCGGGTCTGGCAGCATCTGTGGAGGAGAAAACAGTTAATGTTTCGGGTCCGGTGACCCTTCCTCAGTTCTGAGGAACTAAAAACTAGACCCTATATATACTCCACTGCTAAGGAAAACTGGAAGTGAGGTAATCCAGCTCAACGGATGCCAGAGTTTAAATACCAGGCAGGAAAACACAACAATGCTTCATCGGAGGCTGCACTGATGATGTTACCCAACAGGGTAATGAAACGTCTGCAAACTAACGAACCAGCTCAGCGAGCGAACCAACCGCAATGACCAAGAAATTACAGGCCAGTCAGTCTAAACTTGGTGGTGGAAAAGTTATTGGATAAAATTCAGATGAACAGAATATTTCTGCACTTGTGGGTTAATCATGTGTAGCCAGCATGGATTTGTTAAAGGAATTTTCTGTTTAAAAGATTTGCTGGAATTGTTTGGAGAGGGAACCGGGAGTGTTGAGGACAGTACATTTGAAGTGGTCCCCGTGCACTTTAGTTTGCCTTTTGAAAGTGTCCATGATGGCAGACTGGTCAAGAAAGTAGTAAAAATCCATGGAATCCAAGGCCGTGGCATGTCGATCCAAAATTGACTGAGGGGCAGGAAGCAGAGGCTGATGGCTAAAGAATGTTTGTATGACTAGAAGTCTTTTTCTAATGGGGTTTCAGTGTTTGGTGTTGGGGCCTTTACCATTTGCATACATTCATGATTTGGACTTAAATGTAGGGGGTCTGATCAAGAAATCTGTAGATAACGTGAGAATTGGTATGGTGTTATACAGTGAAGAAAATAGCTGTAAACTGCATAAAGATATTGTGGTCAGGTGACCTCGGCAGCGGATTGGCCGATGGAATTCATTTTGGAGAAGTGTCAGATAATGCATTTGGGCCGGCTAACGAGGCAAGAGGTTACATCATGAATGGTAGGACCCTGGAAAGTACTGAATCCGAGGGATGTTTTCTGAGCCTATCCACAGATCCTTGAAGGTAGCCGATTTAGATGAGGTGGTTAAAAAAGTAGATAGGATATTTACCTTTATTAGCCAAAACATAGAATGCAAGATTTGGGAGATTATGCTAGAACTGTATAAAATGCTGGTTTAGGTATAACTGGACTTCTGCACGCAGTTCTGGTCACCTCACATTATACAAAATACATAATTGCACTGGAGAGAATGGAAAGAAGATTTACCAGGATACTAACATGCAAATAAAAACAAAATACTGTGGATGCTGGAAATATGAAATAAAAGCAGAAAGTGCAGGAGAGAATCTAGCAATGTTGGCGGAGACAGCAATAAAGTTGATGTTTCGAGTCCTGTACCACACTCTTTGGAACTGAAAGTAGCCAGAAAATGGTGGTATTTAGCTTTGGATGAGAGGAGGAGTAATAGGAATATATTGAGTGCCTAGAGCAAAATAGGAAGGCGCTGGTCGTGGCTTACTCGAGGCATGATTTCCCTTGGCTTGTGGAGAGGTTGAGATAGGGAGTCCTTGATAGTGGTCCCGGCTAGTGTGGGAATTGAACGCACGCTGTAACATCACTAACTAGCCATTCAGCTAACTGACCTAACAGTGTTGCTGGTAAAGGCAGAAGATGACCCTTTGGGTAGGTTGATGGATGTAAAGTGGAGCTTTATTGTTCTTGGAGCGAGATGAAGGGGTCAGGGCAGATGTGGGAAAGATGTGTTGGACGGGGTTGAGGGCTGTCAATCACGATGAGAGGTAATCCTTGGTTTGAGCAAAAAGGACATGTCAGAGGTACCACAGTGTTAGATGGCATCATTGGAACACGTGCAACTGAGACAGAAACTGGGAAAATGCAGTGGAATCCTGAAGGAATGTGGGTGTCAGAAAAATTAGTCAACGTAAGAGCGAAAATTGAATTTGCAGTGTATATTGGTGAAATGGAAACAGTGAAACCAAGAAAAGATTCAGAGGTTGTTTACAAAGCCCTCAACCATTTTCTACACACCTCTGACGCTTCTGTTCTCATTCCTTCCCCTCCCTCAACAATGATAGGGTCTCCCATGTCCTCACTTTCTATGTTACCCATCATTGGATCTAATATTTTGAGACGTCTTGAGGCCGTGAATAGTACTGTACAAATGTAAGTCTTTTCTCATTTTGCTTAAAGGCTAACACTATAAAGAAGTTGGCTTATTAGAGATTAAAATGGTAACCTGTGTGCTGGCAGACGTTGTTGACATAGCTGTTGAAGAATACTTTGTCTCTGTCTTCCCTTCTCTTTCATAAAGATATTGTAGTGAGAAAAATTGTGAAGTACCAGCAAATTTTAAGGCAATATCTACACTACTAAGTAGGCCTCTGTATGCTTCTCATCCAAGATCAGATAAGATTGCTTATGGACAAACTAGTGTGAAAATGCCAAAGATAATTTGAAGAATTGATTTAAAGGATGAGTTTTTGCATGACACAGGAAGAATTCCACTACTCTTTGAGTGGCTCTGCAGGGTCATTTACGTCCACCTGAGGAGATCAGTGAGGCCTTAACTTAAAGTCTCATCAGAAAGATGCTAACTGCAACAGTGCAGCAATCCATCAATACTGCACTGAGGTCTGAGGCTGGATTGTGTTTATTTCTATGGCATTGGTCAAACACATGCGCTTTTGTCTCTAAAGTGAGAATATTCTCACTTGCAGCTAACAGTTTAATGCTGCTTCTACGAATATGAAAGGTGAGTAAATGACTTTAAAACCTTCATTCTTGAAATACATCCTTGAGCTATCATTCAAGAATGAAGTTTTTAAAGTCATTTACTCACCTTTCATATTCGTAGAAGCAGCATTAAACTGTTAGCTGCAAGTGAGAATATTCTCACTTTAGAGACAAAAGCGCATGTGTTTGACCAATGCCATAGAAATAAACACAATCCAGCCTCAGACCTCAGTGCAGTATTGATGGATTGCTGCACTGTTGCAGTTAGCATCTTTCTGATGAGACTTTAAGTTAAGGCCTCACTGATCTCCTCAGGTGGACGTAAATGACCCTGCAGAGCCACTCAAAGAGTAGTGGAATTCTTCCTGTGTCATGCAAAAACTCATCCTTTAAATCAATTCTTCAAATTATCTTTGGCATTTTCACACTAGTTTGTCCATAAGCAATCTTATCTGATCTTGGATGAGAAGCATACAGAGGCCTACTTAGTAGTGTAGATATTGCCTTAAAATTTGCTGGTACTTCACAATTTTTCTCACTACAATATCTTTATGAAAGAGAAGGGAAGACAGAGACAAAGTATTCTTCAACAGCTATGTCAACAACGTCTGCCAGCACACAGGTTACCATTTTAATCTCTAATAAGCCAACTTCTTTATAGTGTTAGCCTTTAAGCAAAATGAGAAAAGACTTACATTTGTACAGTACTATTCACGGCCTCAAGACGTCTCAAAATATTAGATCCAATGATGGGTAACATAGAAAGTGAGGACATGGGAGACCCTATCATTGTTGAGGGAGGGGAAGGAATGAGAACAGAAGCGTCAGAGGTGTGTAGAAAATGGTTGAGGGCTTTGTAAACAACCTCTGAATCTTTTCTTGGTTTCACTGTTTCCATTTCACCAATATACACTGCAAATTCAATTTTCGCTCTTACGTTGACTAATTTTTCTGACACCCACATTCCTTCAGGATTCCACTGCATTTTCCCAGTTTCTGTCTCAGTTGCACGTGTTCCAATGATGCCATCTAACACTGTGGTACCTCTGACATGTCCTTTTTGCTCAAACCAAGGATTACCTCTCATCGTGATTGACAGCCCTCAACCCCGTCCAACACATCTTTCCCACATCTGCCCTGACCCCTTCATCTCGCTCCAAGAACAATAAAGCTCCACTTTACATCCATCAACCTACCCAAAGGGTCATCTTCTGCCTTTACCAGCAACACTGTTAGGTCAGTTAGCTGAATGGCTAGTTAGTGATGTTACAGCGTGCGTTCAATTCCCACACTAGCCGGGACCACTATCAAGGACTCCCTATCTCAACCTCTCCACAAGCCAAGGGAAATCATGCCTCGAGTAAGCCACGACCAGCGCCTTCCTATTTTGCTCTAGGCACTCAATATATTCCTATTACTCCTCCTCTCATCCAAAGCTAAATACCACCATTTTCTGGCTACTTTCAGTTCCAAAGAGTGTGGTACAGGACTCGAAACATCAACTTTATTGCTGTCTCCGCCAACATTGCTAGATTCTCTCCTGCACTTTCTGCTTTTATTTCATATTTCCAGCATCCACAGTATTTTGTTTTTATTTGCATGTTAGTATCCTGGTAAATCTTCTTTCCATTCTCTCCAGTGCAATTATGTATTTTGTATAATGTGAGGTGACCAGAACTGCGTGCAGAAGTCCAGTTATACCTAAACCAGCATTTTATACAGTTCTAGCATAATCTCCCAAATCTTGCATTCTATGTTTTGGCTAATAAAGGTAAATATCCTATCTACTTTTTTAACCACCTCATCTAAATCGGCTACCTTCAAGGATCTGTGGATAGGCTCAGAAAACATCCCTCGGATTCAGTACTTTCCAGGGTCCTACCATTCATGATGTAACCTCTTGCCTCGTTAGCCGGCCCAAATGCATTATCTGACACTTCTCCAAAATGAATTCCATCGGCCAATCCGCTGCCGAGGTCACCTGACCACAATATCTTTATGCAGTTTACAGCTATTTTCTTCACTGTATAACACCATACCAATTCTCACGTTATCTACAGATTTCTTGATCAGACCCCCTACATTTAAGTCCAAATCATGAATGTATGCAAATGGTAAAGGCCCCAACACCAAACACTGAAACCCCATTAGAAAAAGACTTCTAGTCATACAAACATTCTTTAGCCATCAGCCTCTGCTTCCTGCCCCTCAGTCAATTTTGGATCGACATGCCACGGCCTTGGATTCCATGGATTTTTACTACTTTCTTGACCAGTCTGCCATCATGGACACTTTCAAAAGGCAAACTAAAGTGCACGGGGACCACTTCAAATGTACTGTCCTCAACACTCCCGGTTCCCTCTCCAAACAATTCCAGCAAATCTTTTAAACAGAAAATTCCTTTAACAAATCCATGCTGGCTACACATGATTAACCCACAAGTGCAGAAATATTCTGTTCATCTGAATTTTATCCAATAACTTTTCCACCACCAAGTTTAGACTGACTGGCCTGTAATTTCTTGGTCATTGCGGTTGGTTCGCTCGCTGAGCTGGTTCGTTAGTTTGCAGACGTTTCATTACCCTGTTGGGTAACATCATCAGTGCAGCCTCCGATGAAGCATTGTTGTGTTTTCCTGCCTGGTATTTAAACTCTGGCATCCGTTGAGCTGGATTACCTCACTTCCAGTTTTCCTTAGCAGTGGAGTATATATAGGGTCTAGTTTTTAGTTCCTCAGAACTGAGGAAGGGTCACCGGACCCGAAACATTAACTGTTTTCTCCTCCACAGATGCTGCCAGACCCGCTGAGCTTTTCCAGCAACTTTGTTTTTGTTCCTGATTTACAGCAACCGCAGTTCTTTTGGTAATCCAGAGATTACTACCTTTGGAGCACTCCTTGTCCATTCACTTCTTAACTTCCTAAAGTTTACTTACAGGAAGTTATTTCTCTTCCTTCCAACATCATTGGCCCCAAAATGGATCACGACCACTGGTTGTTCATACTCCCCTTACAGAAGGCCTTGCAGCCACGCATGACATACTTTCTTTCCAACAGAATGTGTTAAATCTAAATATTACAACCATGCTTTTGTTTATCTGAAACACATTAAGTCATTTTCTTCTTTTGACTAAAAAAAGGAGTCTGTCTTACTCACTGCATGCAAAGAAGTTGGAACACATGACAACCAAGTTGAGCATGTGACAATCACAAGATCAGCACATTCTAACATCTAGAAAGTAATCTTACTTATCAAAATACATACTTTAATACTATGAAAATTTTTATAATTTGAAGATAACTACAGAAAAGTCAAGACTGGGGAAAAAAAAATCACAAGTTTATGATTAAAAACTTATTCAGTTTTTCTGAATTCAAAGTTAGATTTAAAGTTATTTAAAGTTATTTAAAGTTATTTAAAGTTATTTAAAGTTATTTAAAGTTATTTAAAGTTATTTAAAGTTATTTAAAGTTATTTAAAGTTCAAACTTCCATATCAGCCTGAAGAAATGACTCCACTTTTGCAAAATAAGCCGTACAGTTTATTAAGTGCATTAGATTATAAGCAACATATTAATTGAAAGGACTGCTTAGTGAGAAGAAGTCCTCACAAAAGGCAAAGTGTGCTCATGTACGTCACACTTCCTGGCAAAATGATATTTTTTCCGCAGCTTGACTCCAAACAAGCTGATTGTCTTAAATAAAGAAAGAACTGCAAATCTGAAGCAAAAGAGAAATTGCTGGAGAAATTCAGCACGTCTGTCGATTTTGCTGAAGTCAAAGTGGCAAACATTTCATGAAATTACGTCCTTTTCCTCAAAAAGGACTCTTATAAGCTAGCTTCCAAAGACAACATGTTTGTAATTGAAGTCAATATTAATTAACCAATTTGCAGCTGAATTATTATAATCATCTGACCCATTGGGTACTGAAAGTTACCATGTTACTACAAAATACTACATTCCATAAATGTCAGGGAATCAGGGACGCATTGAATGGAATTAACCGAAAGATTTGGCTGCAAGCTTCCTATTTTTAGACACTTCCCTGTTTTGTCCAAAATGGGCCATATTTAAAATTTTGAAAAGTTACAATGCCAGTAGTGAGAATCGAAAAACTGCTTCGATAGTGGCAATGTGCGCAACTTCGTAGTTTTCGAAAACAGTAGATCAAGAATACTCTACCTGATCAGCACCAAAAGGAGTTATATTTGCTTTCACAGATCCTACACCAAGTGCGACAAGCACCAATCCCGAATAGATGGCCGGTGTGCAATAACTATTCCGGCCAATTGAGCAAGCACTGGAACTGTTGTGGAAACACTGGGGGTCCACAATAGGATAGAACTCCAACTCTCCACAAAGGCTACGGCGAGTCCGATCCCACGCAATGAAGGGGAAAAGCACCATTCCAGCCAGATACAGGACCATACTCAGGAGGATAGTGGGGAACCTGCCCAAACAGGCGTCGGCCAGCCAACCTCCAAAGGGAGAGATGAAGTAACTGATGCCCATGAAAAGCAGCAGAGTCTGACCTGACTGCGGCCCCAGCCAGTCGTAAGGCTCGCTGTTGAGGAAAAGCACTAGGCCGCAGGTGATGCCGTAAAACGCCACCCTTTCCAGGGACTCGGTGACCAACACGGCAGCGCAGGCCAGCCGCCGGCCCTGGAAGGCAGAAGCTGCCGATGTGAAGCGGCTGTCCGGCAGCAGAGGAGTCCTCTCATCACCCTGACGGCCCTCCATAGTTCAAATAAAACTTCACGGCTCGTAACTGCCGAACTGTCAGACGGCTTCAGGCCACTAACTCGCCGATCACGGGTCTCTGAGTAAAACACAGCGTCACGATACATAAGCACCAGTCCAACACAGGCTCTGGCCCCCAGCCACTAGGGGATCAGGGTGGCAGGCCTGGGGTCATGACCTCTCCACCCAGCAACCGTAACCTGGGTAACTGCCCGTATGTCGCACCCATTGGTCAGAAACTCGCTGCGTCCATTGTTCGAAACGAGTACATCATTCCCATTGGTTAATTCTTCCAAATTATTCCATTCCCATTGGTCAAAACAATTGTTCTATACCCATTGGCTAACAGTCTCATCTACTTCTTATTGGCCACCAATAACATCCGTCTTTTCCTATTGGTTAAAACGCCATTCATAACCTAGTGGTCAGAAACCATTGCGCTGTATTCAGAGATAGTAAGAACTTTCGATGCTGGTGTCTGAGATAACACGATGTAGAGCTGGGTGAACACAGCAAGCCAAGCAGCATCAGAGGAGCAGGAAAGCTGACATTTTGGGTCGGGACCCTTCTTCAGAAAAATTTCTGCTTCTTTGATGCTGCCTGGCCTACTGTGTTCCTCCAGCTCCACACTGTGTTATTGCACTGTGTTCATTGTAATCATAGTGTAGAAAGAGACCATTTGGACCACTGAGTGTAAACTGACCCTTCGAAGAGCATTCCCAACCAGACCCACCCCATCCCCGTAAACCCCATTTAAAATGGTTAACCCACTCAACCTCCCTGGGCACTACAGGGCAACTTTTTTTTTTAAAAGGCATAGCCAATCTACACATCTTTACACTGGGAGGAAACCCCCACAGACACGGAAGAACGTGCCAACACCACCCAGTCACCTGGGGGCTAAAATCGAACCGGGAGCCCTGGCACCATGAGGCAATAGTGCTAACCACTGAACAGAACGGTTTTGAGGAAGGGTCACCGGATCCGAAACGTTAACTCTTTTTTCCTTCACAGATGTTGCCATATCTGCTGAGCTTCTCCAGCAATTTCGTTTTTGTTGCGGATTTACAGCATCTGCAGTTGTTTCAGCTGTTAGCTTTTAGCTAACATTTCGAGTTCAAAGACCCGGCTTCAGGTTTGTACCCATTGGCTAATACACCTACCGTCCCCTACTTTCTATTGGTCAGAAACCAATCGAACCTCTTCCATTGGCTGATATGCACAAAGGCTGCCACTTCCCATTGGTCATAATCCGTAGCTCCGCTCCTATTGGTCCATACTCCTACTTGGTCCGCATCCGTTGGCCAACACGGTGATGGGCGTGGAGACAGCCCATTCACGATGCAGCTCGGCGACATACCAAGTTTCAATTGGAGAGCAGGACTGTCAATCACAGCTCCGGCTCCCCCCCGCCCCAATGGCAGTTATTTATTTATTGATTTAATTATTTACGTTCCGCGTGGATTCCGCGGGCATGCCGGTCTTGGCTGTTGTTAGCTCGCCATGTTTTATGGCGTCAGGTTTCCCCGCCTTGAGTTGGAGAGCTGCCCATGTTTGGTGCTGGCTCTGGGGTTGGGTGGAATAGCTGTCACCTGTGCCAGGCCCTGGTCTCGGGCGTTGCTGGATGTGTTGCCGAGTGCCAGGTATCGGGCGAGAGGGTGGGTTTGTTCATTTGCTGCCTGCGTGGCTCCAATCCGCAGCTCGGTATGAAGTTGCTCTTTCTCGCCTCCCTCCGTCTTCCGACTGGGAACAGGACGACAGCTCAAAGAATAAGGTGAGGCTGACTGATGGCCCGAGTCACCGTCAGGAACACATTTTGTGTTCGCTGAAGTGGGAGTTAGTGACTCCTAAAGGTTTTAGTTTTATTTTCTTCAAAAGCTGGAACTTGCACAGGGCCATTCACACAATGGTGACCGTTAATATTGAGAGATTTCTGAACGTCCGACAGCATTTCATCCTGTGGGAAATGTAGCACTGAGAAAACTTCCATCCAATTCACTGGAGACGTAGGCACTTTTTCGTACACTTGTGAGTGATTGCATTTGACATCACGGCTGTGACTGAAATATGTTGCTTCCTGATGTTTCCTCGACTCTGCCCTTTCCATCTGTGTGAATTCTCCTGGTCATAGCCATAACCACCCACGTACCATGACCCGTACTCCCTTTAGACCCCTCATCTCAGTCACAGAGGAGACTATTTTTAATAATTTCTTACATATTATTACCACTTGCATCATACGACCAACCCCACATCATTCTTTAGTTTCCTAATGAAAGACCCCGTGATTTTTCAACTACACATCTAAACGTGCAACCCTGTATACATGTTTAAGTTCGTTTGAGACATGCGCATCACGTTTTCTGCCAGTTAAATGTTGGGAGAGCAAAAGCCATTGTCAGTGAAATCCCAAGTCTTGATATTGTTCCTCTGACTGCAGTGCACTTGCAATACGTCCATTCTAACAGTGCAACATGCCCAATGTACTGCTCATGCAATGTTCCCTCAGTACACCCCTCTGGCAGTGTATATTCCCTTGGTATTGTAATACTGGTCAGGAAGGACAAAGAGTGATTATGTATTTTTGTCAGTCGTGTTGGGTGTCTCTACTCCAAACCTCAATATAGTCTTAGTTAATTTAGAAGCTACTTTTACATTCTCACTAATCCCTTTGTCAGGCAGTGCAGTCACAGTAATATTGCCTTCTACTTCTGTTCATATATATGGTGTTTAGACTTGCACAGTAGTGGAAATAGAAGTATTTCGGTATCAGTAGGAGTGACCACCAAACCATCCTTGAGGAGACAAAGTCCCATCTTCAAATTGAGGATGCCATCCATTATGATAAATGGCACAGACTTCGAATGGATCTAGCAATTCAAGACCAAGCATCTGTGAGGCATTGTGGGTTATTAACACCAGCAGAATTATAATCAAATATATCTGTACCCTCAGGGCCTGGCATATCCTCCACTTTGCCATTGCCATCAAGCCAGGGGATGCCAAGGGATCCTCCCTAGCTCAATGAAGAGTGCGAGAGAGCATGCTAGGAGCAGCACCAGGGAAAGCTGAAAATAAAATGTCAGCCTGGTGAAGCTAAACACTGGATTTGCACACCAAACAGCATGCTGGCAAACAACAACAATGCCAGATCAAAATCTTGGAACTTCCATCCTAATGCATTGTGGGTCTATCTACAGCACACTGGTTCAAGAAGGCAGTTCAACACTGCCTCCTCACGGGCAACAAAGGATGGGCAATAATTTCTGGTTCAGCCAGTGAGGCCCACATACCATGAATGAGTCAAAAGACATAACTAAGCCATTGGATCAGATCTAAGTTTACAGTCTTGCCATATCTAGGCATGAATGGCGATGGTCAGTTAAAGAACTCCATGGATGAGGGGGCTCCACATATATCCCCATTCTCAATGATGGGGGTAGCTCAATACATCAGTGCAAAAGCTAAGCTTTTTGAACAATCTCAGTCCCCTCTTGAGGTCCCCAGCATCAAAGGTGTCAATCTTCAGCCAGTTCAATTTGCTGACCAGTTATCGAGAGGTTATTGAAACAATGTGAAACTTCAAAGGCTACAGGCCCTGAAAACACTTTAGCAATAGTACTGAAGACTTATGGTTCAGAATTGCTGTGTCCTTAGCCAACCTATTCAGTACAGCTAAAACATTGGTATCTATCTGACAATGTGTAGAGTTGCTGAGAGACGTACTGTACATGAAAAAGGACAAATCCACCCAACCAATTGGCGCTTCATCAGTCTAGCCTAGCTTGTTAGTAAAGCTATCAAGCACTGCTGACACTCAGTTTGGATTCTGCCAGAGCCACTCAGTTCCTGACCTCATTACAGCCTTGGTCTAAACATGAACAAAAGAGCTGAACTCTAAAGATGAGATGGGAGGGATTGCCTTTGTCACCAAGGTTATAATTGAACAAATGTGGTATGAAGGAGCCCTATTAAAACTGGAGTCAATGGGAATCAGGGTTAAGGGGAGGTCTGTATGCTGTGATACCACTGACTATGAGTCACACCTTGCCCAAAAAAATGGTTGCAATTATTGAAGGTCACTCATCTTCACTCTAGGACACCTCTGCTGGATTTCCTCAATGTAATGCTCTAGGCCCAATCATCTTCAGCTGTTTCCTCAATTACCTTCCCTCTGTTATAATGTGAGAAGTGGGGATGTTCGCTGATGATTGCACAACATTCAGCACCATTCATGATTTCTCGGATACTGAGCAGTCCATGTCGAAATTGGAATAAGACCTGAACAATATCCAGGTTTGTGCCGAAAAATGGCAAATAACATTTGTGTCACACAAGTGCCAGGCAATGACCATCTCCAACAAGAGAGAGTCTGACCATGCCCCCTTGACATTCAGTGGCATTGCTATCACTGAATTCACTGCTATCAACATCTTGGGGATTGCTATTGACCAGAACCTAAGTGTATTAGCAATTTACATATTGTGGTGACAAGAGCAAGACAAGGGCTAAGTATCTCACCTGATTCTCCAAAGCCTGTCCACCATCTAGTTAGGAACAAGTCAGGAGTGTAATGGAATACTCCCCACTTGCCTGGATGAGTGCTGCTCCAACCACACTCGAAGTTTGACAACATCCAGAATAAAGAAGCCTGCTTGATTGGCATTGCATCCACAAATATTCACTCTCTCTACCACTGACACACAGTAGAACAATTATCACAATCTTCAAGATGCACTGCAAACATTCATCAAGGCTCCTCAGAGAGTGCCATCCAAACGCATAACCACTAGCATCTAGAAGGACAAAGCAGATAGATGGCAACATAATCAACTGCAGTTTCCCTCTAAGTCGTTCATCCTGATTTGGAACTTTTCTCAATTCTGGAAGTCCTGGAATTCCCTCCCTAACAGCCCTGTTGGTGTACCTACAGCAAATAGACAGCAGTGATTTAAGAAAGCAAGTCACCATCGCCTTCACCAAGGGGACTAGGGATGGGCAATAAATACCAGCCCAACCAGTGAGATTTGCATCCCATCACGGTGTAACAAAGAAAATCATAATCATTTGGAGGTAATTCATTATCTTAGTGATTTCTAGTTTTCCAAGTTAGCTGAGTATTTCTTTGTTGACGGGTTTGAAACTGTTATGACTTCTTTGCAGCTTCTTTCTTTCATATCCTGCTATGCAGCCTCCATCCCTCTCTCTCTCTAATCCCCTAGAAGTCTCCTTCCCCCTTCCTAGCCTACCTTGCAACCTCACTTTCTCTCCCACTTCCTCCTCACATCCTCCTTCTGTTTCTCTCACCACTGCCCCACCGCAGTCTCCCAGTCTTTCCTAAACCCCAACTCTTGCAGCTTACCCCTCTTTCACAGCCCTATGAAGCTTACCTCTCTCCCAGCTTGTTTGCAGCTTCCACATTTCTCCCTTAGCTTCTTGTTGTTCATCCTTCCCCATCTCCATCATGACCCCTTGTTACCCTTCAACAATGTTGTAGTCTCCCTCATTCAGTGATCATGCTCAAACCTACTTGAGAGGGCAAACGGCTGCTTTCAGTGATGGCTCCTCAAGGTCCATTGGAAAATCAGTGGCTGGCTCCTAACCTGCCTGCCCTCTACTCCCAGAACCCATGGGTCTAGATCTCACTGGGGGGAGGCTCAGTTTTGGTCTCCTTTCCTCAGACCTCAGGCCATGTTCCTCATTCTCAGCACCACAGTTCCTACCTCCAGACATTAGACCCCAACACTTGCCCACGGATCTCAGTCCCCCAACTCCTGCCATGGATCTTGGTTCTGCAGCCAAGACCACAGCTCCCACTTCTCTCTAGCAATTGCTGGCCCTAACCAATCTGGGTACCTGTTCTAATCTTAGACCTTTGTGATAAACTTATCAGCAGGAATTCTGGGAGAGAACCAGCATCTTCTCACCGTTTCCTTCCATTCAAATTACATCAATGACTTTTCTCCTATTTATTGCAATCAATAGGTGAATATTCCAAAATGATCCAACAAGAAAAGGTTGAACTATCTCTTGACTTTCAATTGCTTTACATTGTTTATTCTTCAATTTTCAACATTACATTGTGGGGGTGGGGACATTCAGCATTGACCAGAAACGCAACTGGAACCCAAAGAAATGTTGTAGTAACAAAAGCTGGTTGGAGGATGGGAACTAAAACCTTCAAAAATTTATAAAAGGTGGAAAAATGATGTCTGAAATGGGAAATGGTTTACCAAAAAGCAGAAAAGTGATAAAACAAAGCACACAGTAAATGAATATCTTGAGATTTTCTTTATATTTTGTAATCTGAAAGATGTTTTGATGCATTCTTTGCATTAGTAAACTCAGCCATAATGCTTGCCAGAATTTACATTTTATTTTTATTTTATCTTTCTTGCCTGTAGCAAATATATACAAAGTAGTGGCCACATATGTATTCTGAGAGATATTGCCGAATTTAAATCACCCTCGCAAGTTTCCGACTTAATTAATGAACAGAAGTTTGAAGCAGTAATGACAATCCATCTCTACAAAGGAGGAAAATTACTGTTAGGTAAGGTAAACTTGTATTGTTGGAACAGGTTCTAGGTGATGGAATTTGGTAGAAAAGCATTGAAAAAAATTCACTGTGTGATTAAATGTTTATTATATTTAAACATCAATTATATTCAATAATTAAAAAGTAAATTTGCTTGAGTTTATTCTGAAAAAAGGTAGATATTGTGAAAGCAAGTCAAAAGTAAACAATGCTCCATTAAATATATCTGATTTGCCTTTTATGACATTTTATAAAAGTGGAATATTTGAATTCAGACTTGCTTTCTTATTGTAGCTCATATTAAACTAATTTTGTCTAAATAATTGTTATTGTTACCAGCTTCTTAGTATCCTGACCAAACCACCTAGATCAATGGAAAATTCCTGCTTATCAACCCTCTCTAAAATAAGAGGTCTGCATTAAAAAAGTTCAAAGTGTATTGAATATAAAGCAGAGGCTGAACCTGACTTAATTTATGAATTGGCAGAAAAGCAGTGCTAACATCTTTTGTGATATTTACATCATTTTTGAGGATAATTTAAATGTAATTACAGTACTAAAACGTTTTATGTTGTTCACAGAATCACAGTTATTATGGTGCAGAAGGAGGCCATATGGCTCACCATGCCTGAACTGACTCTGTTCCCCAGTTCCTATCTCCTGCTTTTTCCCCATAACCCTGCACACTATTACTATCCAAATAACCATACAATGCCCCCTACCTCCATCATATTTGCAGGCAGTCAATTTCATACACAAACTACTTGCTGTGTTTGCAAGTGTTTTATCTCACATCACTCTTGCTTCATTTACACAGCATTTTAAATTTATACCCTCTTGTTTATTTTACAAGCAGAAATGGCTTCACCCTATCTACTCAGGTCCAGCTCACTCATGGTTTTGAAAACTTCAGTCAGATCTCATCTCAGCAGAGATGAGGAGCAGTCCAACTGCTTAAATCTATCCTCATTGCCAAAGCTCTCAGATGTGGGACCATTTTTGTTAATCATTTCTTTACTCTTTCCAATGCATTTGCCTTTCCTGTAGTGTTATGTTCACAACCATACTCAGTACTCCAGCTGAGGTCTAACAGGTGTCTTATTCAAGTTCAACATCATCTCTTTGCTGTTGTACTCTGTGCCCCTATTAATATAGCAGAGAGCACTGTATGCTTTATTTACTGCTCTTTTCACCTGCCATACAAACTTAATGAACTGTGCAAGTACACATGCAGGTCCCTCTGCTACTGCATCCCCTTTAGAATTGTATCTCATGTTTTATATTTTCTTCCAGTGTTCAGCAAAACAAATTGCAAAATGGTGTAAATTTTGAGAACTTCTAACAAAGACCGAGAGGAACAAATTCTAAATGAAACATTTCTGGGCTAAAGTACATTTATTCCCTGAAAAGTATGTTATTAATGTATGAAAATGAAGGCAATTACATTTTATTGGTAAGGCCTCTATAAAATGGCTGCAAGGCTGATTGACTTCTACGTATGATTGTGATCAGGAATATGCCAATTGGAATTTGCGTAGTGTTTTCTTCCGCCAGTAATGGAGAATATTTTCATGCTTTCACATTCAGCGATCCAGGGAGCAATGTAATGCAATTTTGACCCTATTTCCGTTCAGGTTATCAGTTTTTGCCTTACAATGGAAGGTAAGATAGAAGGAGCGAGTTCCTACACAAGACAATGGTATAGGCCTGTTCAAGCATACGGGTTCTCTTTCTTTTGTGGAAGATGTAGAGAATCTGGAAATAGTTCAGATACTGGGTTCGTTCCTTTCTTGTGTGAAAGGCCCATAGAGGGGAATCTGTTCAATTTAGGAATAACATAGGTTCTGTGGATAATTGATTGAAGCATATAAAATGCTGAATGGACTAGACTATGTGAATTTGGTCAGATTATTTGGATTAGGTAAATTAGTGAGAATGAGGGGTTACATCAACTATGGAATCAGGTTAGGTGTTCAATAATTTTCTTTTTCAAGCAATTAATTGACCTTTAGCATATTATTCTGGTTCTTGTCGCAAGTGACGTTTTACTCCAATAAGAGAGTTGGATGAATACTTGGAAGTATTGTTTGTAGTATCTGGAGGGATATGTCCTGTGGCAATTGTTGACTCATGGAAATCATGTTGTCATCAATTAAGCTGAATTTTTTGGACGACTTTCTTTTCCTCTTACAGGAAATTGTTGGTGAGGGAAATATGGTGGTTAACCTCCCCTACAATCCCTCTTCTATGTTTGGAAGAAAGATTTAAACTATATTCCGGTGAAAAAAAAAATTGAGATAACAAGGTGTAGAGCTGGATGAACACGGCGGGCCAGGCAGCATCAGAGGGGCAGGAAAGCTGACGTTTCGGGTCTGGACCCTTCTTCAGAAATGGGGGAGGGGAAGGGGACTCTGAATAGAGAGAGGGGGAGGCTATGATAGAAGGTGGATAGAGGAGCAGATAGGTGGAGAGAAGGCGGACAGGTCAAGGAGGCAGGGATGAAGCCAGTACAAGTGAGTGTAGGTAGGGAGTTGGGATGTAGGTTGGTCAGTGGGGAGGGAGGGGCGGGTAGGTGGAAGGGAAGACGGACAGGTCAAGGAGGCAGGGATGAGGCTAATAGGTAGGAAGTGGGGGTGGGGTTTGGTCAGTGATGGGAGAGGAGCAGATAGTTGGGAGAAAAGACGGACTGGTCAAGGATGCAGGGATGAGATGGGCTGGTCATGGCATGAGGTTGGGGGTGGGGAGATTTTGAAGCTTGTGAAGTCCACATTGAGACCATTGGGCTGCAAGGTTCCTAAGCAGAATATGAAGTGCTGTTCCTCCAGCTTTCGGGTGGCATCGTTGTGGCACTAGAGGAGGCCCAGGATGGACATATTGTCCAAGGAATCGGAGGGGAGGTTGAAGTGTTTCGCGACTGGGAGGTGTAGTCGTTTGTCACAAACTGAGCGTAGGTGCTCCACAAAGCAGTTTCCAAGCCTCCGCTTGGTTTCCCCGACATAGAGGAGGCCACGTCGGGAACAGCGGATACAGTATACCACATTAGCAGATGTGCAGGCGAACATCTGTTTGATGTGGAAAATTTTCTTGGGGCCTGGGATGGAGGTGAGGGGGGAGGTGTAGGGGCAGGTGTAGCACTTCCTGCGGTTGCAGGGAAAAGTGCCAGGGGTGGTGGGGTTAGTGGGAAGTATGGAGTGGATGAGGGAGTCACGGAGAGCGTAGTCTCTCCGGAATGCAGATAAGGGTGGGGAGGGAAAAATGTCCTTGGTAGTGGAGTCAGATTGCAGGTGGCAGAAGTGGCGGAGGATGATGCGTTGAATCCGGAGTTTGATGGGGTGATACGTGAGAACGAGGGGAATTCTGTGTTTGTTGTTATTGCAGGGAGGGGGTGTGAGGGCTGAGGTGCGGGAAATGCAAGAGAAGCGATCGAGGGCGTTTTCAACCACTGTGGAGGGGAAATTGCGGTCCTTGAAAAACGAGGACATCTGGAATGTCCAGGAGTGGAATCCCTCATCTTGGGAGCAGATGCGGAAGGAATTGGGAATAGGGGATGGCATTCTTGCAGGAAGGAGGGTGAGAGGAGATGTATTCTAGGTAGCTGTGGGAGTCGGTGAGTTTGAAATAGATGTCAGTTTCCAGCTGGTTACCAGAGATGGAGACAGAGAGGTCCAGGAAGGAGGGAGAGGTATCAGAGATGGTCCAGGTGAACTTAAGTGGATGAACTGTTCGAGCTCCTTGTGAGAGCACGAGGCGACGCCGATACAGTCGTCGATATAATGGAGGAAGAGGTGGGGGATGGGGCCAGCGTAGCTGCGGAAGAGGGATTGTTCCATGTATCCTACAAAGAGGCAGGCATAGCTTGGGCCCATGCGGGTGCCCATGGCCACCCCCTTTGTCTGTAGGAAGTGGCCTCCTCTACATCGGGGAAGTCAAGCGGCAGCTTGGAGACTGCTTTGTGGAGCACCTATGCTCCCAATGTGGCCTCCTCTACATCGGGGAAACCAAGCGGAGGCTTGGAGACCGCTTTGTGGAGCATCTACACTCGGTTCGTGAAAAATGACTACACCTCCCAGTTGCAAACCACTTCAACTCCCCCTCTGACTCCTTGGACGACATGTCCATCCTGGGCCTCCTCTAGCGCCACAACGATGCCACCCGAAGGCTGGAGGAACAGCACCTCATGTTCTGCTTGGGAACCCTGCAGGTAAATGATCTCAATGTGGACTTCACAAGCTTCAAAATCTCCCCACCCCCAACCTCATCCCAAGACCAGCCCATCTCATCCCTGCCTTCTTGACCTGTCGTCTTTTCTCCCACCTCACTGACCAACCCATGTCCCAACTCCCTACCTACACTCACCTGTACTGGCTTCATCCCCGCCTCCTTGATCTGTCTGTCTTCCCTCCCACCTACCCGCCCCTCCATTCTCGCTGACCAACGCCCATCCTAACTCCCTACCTACACTCACCTGTACTGGCTTCATCCCTGCCTCCTTGACCTGTCCGTCTTCTCTCCACCTATCTGCTCCTCTATCCACTTTCCATCATCGCCTCCCCCTCTCTCTATTTATTTCTGAGTCCCCTTACCCTCCCCCATTTCTGAAGAGGGGTCCAGACCCGAAACGTCAGCTTTCCTGCTCCTCTAATGCTGCCTGGCCTGCTGTGTTCATGCAGCTCTACACCTTGTTATCTCAGACTCCAGCATCGGCAGTTCCTACTATCTCTGGATAAAAAAGTTTGTAGCCTTTGTCCATTGCTAAAATCTTTTATTCCTATGTAATTCTGTTGAATCATTGCTATGTCTTTCTACAGCTCTAATTATGTCCCATTTTGGAATGCCCAGAATGGGAATGCTTTAAGGAGTCATTTTACAAATTCACCATCGTTGTCTGCTGTATAATATCCAGAATGCCATTTACCTCTTTTATACCTATGTTCCCATCTTTGAAAGGCCTTTGCATCAATGTACCTAAGGTGAAGACCTGTTCCAGCAAGTTAATAGGATTTTTAAACTTTATTAAGAGCTCCAAAACTTTCTTTGTCCCACTGTTTTTCTTCACTCATTCTGCCATGTACACAGATCAACAAACCTCAATTTGATCAACGCTGCTATAATTTTATATATGCCAGATTCACAGCATCTTTTTCTTCTCACGTAAGTATGGAATATTTGCAGTTTTTGAAAATGGTTCTTTTCCTTGCTGCTCCTCCTTTTTTCCTACTTCCACTTTTTCTTCCCCTCACTTTCTCCCTTTCAGTTTCAGTCCCTTCCACTCCACACTATTCCTCCCACCTTGAAATGGTGTCAAAGTGAACAATATTTATCAACATAAGCAACTGAAATACAGTTTTTCACTTACTTATGTTCTGATGTAGAGAACTAAGTCAGTTGTTGAAGGAAACAGGTTTGCAGATAAGTAAAAATACCAATTCTTTTAGGCAGTAATGTTCCATATGGAGTTATATTTGGTGGAACAGACATCAATGAAGATATCCAAGATGAAAAGAAGCATGAGGTCATGGAGACTGTCCTGCAGAAATCTAGGTAACAGCAAACATGCATTTTATTTTCTCCTGTGATGGAGGGAAGCGGGGACAATTGTTTAGCTATTGCATCAATAAATCTGAATTAATAGCGGTAAGATGGCCTGCAAGACTGCTAGTGTAATTTTTTTTGTAATTTGTGAGTCAGTCTTGAATGCTTCTCTGTTCCTGCCTCGTTACATCTAATAATCATGCTTCTTTGTGCTCAAAATGAACAATAATGCTGCTAGAGAACCAAGCATTTCCCATTTCAGATATCCAGTGATGGTGTCAAGTTTTTCCAAGTCAGGGATTGCATGCCTAGCAGCATAGTACTTTGTCCGCAAGCCTTATTCAATTACATTCCCATTTACATTAGCAAATGAGTCTTCCGAGCTTTTAGCCACCTCTTCTGTAACGACACAACAAACTTAACCAGAAATTCTAGCAAAACAAGGATTTAGTGAAAATTAGAAATTTAAAGCTATTATTAATGAAATAATAGAATACAAATTAATGAGACTTAAAGTTGACAGATCTGTACCTGACGGGCCACTTCCCAAGGTTTTAAAAGAGATAGCTCAGAGATAGTGTATCCTAGAATTATCCCCATAGATTAGAAGACAGCAAACATAACATAATTTGAAAGAAAGGAGAGAAATAGAACCATGGTACTACAAGGCTGTTACATCAATAATTGAGAAAATGTTAAATCAATTATTAAGAACATGGTAAAAGAGCACTTAGAGATTTAAAATAAGCAGAATCAACATGAATTCGTGGAAAGGAAATCACATTTGAAAAATCTGATAGTGATTGTAATGAGCAGCATAGAGGAGGGTGAACCAGTGGATCTAATTCATTTGGATTTTCAAAAAACATTCTACCGAAAGCTAGCATATGTCTGATGGGCCAAATGGCAACTTTCAGTATCATAATGGCTTTAGGGCATGCAATACGTTGCCATTAAAGAGGTTATTACACAAAGTTGCAGATAGTGCCTTTGACAATAATTCATGAGCATGGATTAAGGATCGCTTAATAAATGGAAAACAGAATAGGAAGAAACAGAACATTTTCAGGTTTTAACTAGTAGGGTACTGTAAGACTAAATGCATGGGCCTGAACTATTTACAATGTCTGAGGTGAGGGAACAGAGTATCCAAGATTGCTCATGATACAAAGTTAGATAGAAAAGTAAGCTGTTGGGAGGACATCTCGAGACTTCAAAAGAATACAGGCAGTGAGTGGGCAGGAACATAGTAAATGAAATACTACGCAGGAAAGCATGAAATTACCCACTTTGGAAGAAACATTAGAAAAGCAGAACTTCTTTCAATGGTGATAAACTGAGCAATGTCAGTATTCATGGCCCAATATTGTATACAAATCACAGAAAGTTAATTTACTTGTTTTGTGAAACATGAGCTTAACTCATTTTGGACTCCCGCAAAACTCCATTTCCCAGTAGGCCATGAGTTTTGGCCCATATGCAGAGCAGCCACTGTTGTGCCTGTTACATTTGACAGCTGAAGGATTCAGCTCTTTAAAAGGCATGAGAAAAGATCATGAGACACAGTGTTTAGCATTATACAAGGGACATCCCAGGCCTAGAAGATCAAAGACCAATGGAAGAGATCACTGAGAGAAGACCAGAGAAACCTAACCCATATGGCCACGAGCTGCAGTTAGCATGCTTGCTCAATTAGGGCTCAAAGAAACCCTGGGAGTCATCAGGTGAAGCTAACAGTAAGGGATAGGACTCCGGAAGCGTTTGGAGCCATTCCTTTGAGGCTCAAAGGAAATAATCGGGAGCTATGAAGGTGGTAGAATGTCATTGACTCGTACTGCTGGCTGGTGGGAAAACAGTAGCCCCTTTAAGAAATAGTATTCTGCTCAGAATGGCTAGAGAGCTGGTTGTGTACCAGAAAGTCAGTGCTGGTCTGTAGCCTTGAAACTTAAGGGGAATACAGTCTAGGAAAGAAATTGACGTGAGCAGGCATTGAAGTGGTCAGAATTAGAGAGGCTGGATTTTTGGACACAGTTGAAATCCTTAAGCAGAAGACAGAGTTAACAAGATTTTGTAATTCAGGGATTAGTGACAGGTGTGTTGCTGGCAAGCCTGTGGAATCAGTCTTGGTTTTACCTGCCATTTAATGTGCAATATGGTGTGTTGAGGCTTTTAGCCACCTCTTCTGAAAAGACACAACAAACTTAACCAGAAATTCTAGCAAAACAAGGATTTACTTTTCCTCCTAATTCATATTTGCCTTGTGTTAATTCTGGATGCTAAAGTATAAAGTAGATATTATAGATTGTTTACTTTCTGGCTTCATACAGTAAAGTTTATTTTGTTTAACTTGAAACTGCAGTCCTATGGCTTTATCCTCGCGGTAAGTACTCTGAATTTCAAACATTTTTCTACTTTAAATAAAAAGGCTACTAGTCCCTAACCAAACAGTAACTTACATTTGGGGGTCTAATCTGGGATTATAACATGGGTACAGCAAGCTTTTACTGTAAAGAAATTGGAATATAAGAGCAGTGAAGTCTTACTGTAATTTTATAGGGACTTGATGAGACCACACCTGGATACCATGTAGAACTTTAGCTTTAGCCTCCATCCCGCAGAAAGGATATGCTTACCTTGGAGAAAGTGCATCAATGATTCACTGGACTCATTCCTGGAATGAGAAAGTTATCCTAGGAAGAAGTCTTAATTATTCTATATTCCATGGGATTTCCCTGGTGCTCTCATTGAAATATCTAAGATTCTCAATGGGTATACACTGGGAGGATGTTTTTCCTAGCTGAGGAATCAGAATGTGTGGTCACAGAAATAAAGATTGGTGATTTAATTGGTGATATTGGAGAAGCAATATCTGCTCTGTGATTTGGAACTTTGCATTCTGAGTAGAGAATTCTAATGAATGCTCAATCGCTGACTGACAGAGGATTTTTGGACCGTAAGGTGATTAAGGGTTCACCTGGGTGTAATATGGGAAGATTGCATTGAGGTGGAAGATTAGTCTGTAACTGGATTGAACAGTGGAACTAGCTTAAAAGAAGTACAGTTTTCTCTTGCTCTTATTTCTGACATTGTTTATATAATCTCTCCTATATTGGCTCAGCATCTGTTTCTTCCACATGTGAAGTGCCTTAGGGTAATTATTTTCTGCTTTAATGGCATTACATAAGTTGTTGATTTATGATGTTTTTTGGTAGCAGTACATTTACTGGAACATCATAACTAGTTAAAAACTAATATTTAGGTTATTGTTAGCTTATGGAGAACCTTTAAGCTGCTCCTTCATTTCTTCAGTAATAAGCATTAGTGCATATTATTCACACATTACATGATGCTTACAAAAATAAGCACTGTCTCTGTATTATTCATTCAAGTTAATTACACATCACAAATACATAAAGCATTTGGAGATGCAAGTTCCAACTCAGTGTCCACATATCCTTGTGGAAGTAACCATTCATGTGACATACAAAATGTTGAATCTTAGTTTTTCAATACTGTTTCTGCAGCAGCAATTCTGTGCCGTACTGTGAATGCATATGATATTGAGTTACGAGTCTCATCAAACTACTATTGGACATGGTAATTTTTTTTTTAGAAATCATGATCTGCTTGATGGTACTTGGAACCATTGGAATAATTAGCCTGGTTTAACAAAAGCTATCAAAGGCTTAGTACATCATGGATAGTATCTATCTTTGTGTCTTCCTATTGACATCCCCTGGTTATGTGATGGATATCTTGGTTAAATTTTCTAGAAAGTCATTGGTATTATGACTGGAGGCTTATTAGTGGAGCTCCGTGCTCAGCATACACTTTGATTAAATAGCATCATTCTCAGCAGATTTATACTATTGCAGTTGAAATTCCTTCAGCCACTTTTGTCTAGTACAGCTGCCCAGAGAGCCAAAGATAATTTGGATTTTATTAAAGATAACCCCTGAAGCTGTCTGTAGCTCTCCAATTTTTTAAATTAAATTTCCTATCTGTTTTCTCACTTTTTGAGGTATTACTTTTTATATTTTCTAACATCCATGTAGAGCAAGATGTTGACATGATGCCTTTGTGAATCCTTTGTAATATTCTTTCTTTGAAAACTTTTATAATTGTCAGGTTTCTGGTGGCTTTCACAGACCAATTGAAGAAAACAGCAGAGATGCATTGGGTATGTCTTTGTATTACCTTGGCTTTGCCTAACATGTATAACCAAGATCTGCAGTTATTTTTTACAACTATTTTTAACTTGGACTGGACTGCTTTCAATAACGTGGTTTCAATAACTAATTTTTTTGTCATTTTTGTAAACAAATGTACCTTTTCCTGATGCCGTCCTGCATTGCCTCCTGCTGAGTGTGACTTCCATAAGCAATTGTAGGAACTTTCTCCTGTTTTTTACGTTTGAGGCCAAACACTGAGTTTCAACAGATTATTTAACTTCAGGGTGTTAGAATTAATCCTGACTTGATGACCACTTGCACGTCACTTTCATCAAAGCTCACGTGGCAATGATCGAAAGCTGAAAAGCTACTGATCTTTCCCCAGGCCTTCAATCACAAGAAACAGAAGCCATTTTTAACCTTTTTGCTTCCACAGGCTTACAATATTCTCCTTGTCAATATGTTATGAAGTCTGAAGACTTTGACAAACAAACATGACCATTAACCAACTGATTCCTGTTAGAATTTTCTCCACTTTGAGTGGCCTTTTAAATTTGCTGTTATTCGTTTTTATCGTAGTCATTGCGGTTAATGGGTGGAATAGAAGCTTCAGCATTAATATTAATGCTTCAAGGAACTAGAGTAAATATTTTATTGTGTTTATTTATGCAGAGTTTCACATTGTATTTTGCAGTTCTTTAGAAGAAATAGTAAATAATATGGCCGTAATATAACAAAAACAATGGCATGAGTGTGATGTATATGTTTATAGCAGGGCACTGCAGCAAAAGTTTCGGCATGTATGAAGTTCATTTCCATTTCACAATAAGTAAACAGAATCCATACATACTTATTACCCAATTTTACTTTAAAAATACATAATTCGCTTCTCAGAAAATCTTATTTTGTGTTCTATTTCAACATCTAAGAATCACCAGAGCTGAAGCCATTGTGCAGTAAAAGTGCAGGGAATGAGAAAATTAAATTCATTCTTTCAAAATAATGGCTGTGGTTTTCGCTGTCAGAAGCTCCTCCCCAGGTTTATTTAAGTTCCCAAGGAATTAATAATCACAAGCAATAAAAATTTGAACCATTTGTCAAGCACAAAATATGGGAACAACTAACCTGTTGGTAAAATTGTTGAATTCAGTGCTTCTCCACATGAACACAATTTGGAAGAAGCACTGAGAAAAGCATGAGCTACAGCAGGCATGTTGTGTGGTGTACTTAATTGTCTGTCGTCAGGAGTGGCTTGGGGCTACTACTACCCAAGCTGGCTGGGACGTGATAGACACAATTACCAGCATGGGCATGTGGGCAAACAACAAAAAGAGTAGAATGTACTTGGCTTCATCATTACAGGAAAAGCTCACTCAATCCAGAGTGTATCCCAAAGCGTAACTCTGTTGGTCTGGCTTACCAGGACAACAGGACATACTATACTTGGAAATGGTGATGAAGCAGTTTGGGAAATTTATTAGGTGGATGTATATTATGCTGTTGCTTGACTTGTCTATGAGACAGCTCTCCTAATTTTGACGCAAATCTCCAGATATTAGTGAGGAGGACTTTGCAGGATCACGTGATTTGGTTGTGTCTTTGTAGTTTCTGGTGCCTATGATTATGTCTGGTGTCCATCCGATTTTGTTCTTTTTAGACTCTTCTGTAACAATTGATACAGTTGAGTGACCTTCTAGTTAGGCCAGTTAGTGGCCAGTTAAGTCAAACTGCATTGAGTTTAGACTGTGGGGCTGAAGGCGTACGGAGATCAGATTGAGAAATGACAGCACATTTGTTTTCTAAAAAGATATTTGTAAACCAAATAGATATGTACAACTGTAAATCCAGTATGTTCATGGTTACTATTGCTGAATTTTCATTTCAAAAGTATTTAATAACAATTTAAATTCCATAGCAGCTTTAGTGGGAGCAATGACCTAGTGGTATTATCACTAGACTATTAATCCAGAAACTCAACTAATGTTCTAGAGACCTGGGTTCAAATCCCACCATGGTAGGTAGTGGAATATGAATTCAATAAAGAATCTGGAGTTAAGAATTTAATGATGACCATGAATCCATTGTTGATTGTTGGAAAAACCCATCTGATTTAGTAATATCCTTTAGGGAAGGAAACTACTGTCCTTATCTAGTCTGGTCTACATGAATCCACATCCTCAGCAATGTATTTGACTCTTAAATGCCCTCTGAGCAATTATGGATGGTCAATAAATGCTGGCCTAGCCAATGATGCCCACATCCCATAAATGAATAAATTTAAAAAATTGAGCTCATGGCTCAGGCCTCTAGAGTCTTAGTCTAGTAACAAAACCACTGCTCTGTGATAGTCTCTGCTAACTGTATGTTCCACTGAGAATCTGAAGCAAACAATTCTAATCATGAGCTCCATAACGGCCGTATTTCAGTTAACATTTTCATGGCAGTCTTCTTTAAAGTTGTAAATATAGTTTTCTACTTTAATTATTACCAATTAACATCAGAAAATCAAATTACCATTATTAAATAACTTGCCCAAAAACTTGACTGGCAAACATAACAGGCAGGATTCCACACAGATTGCCAGTCTGGCCTTTTTTTTTAATGAAAGGAGGGAGCTCTGCATTTCTGAGAGGAGATTCCGATCCAGGCTGCCTCAGAAATGTGGAACCATACTTCCGTTCTGACCATTCTAGCACAGACGTGTCAGAGGGAGGCAAACCATGACCCTTTTTTTGCAGCAGTCAGCAGGGGTTCAGGTGTATTGGTTGTGGTGATGGCGGTGATGGTTGGTGGGGGTGTAGGTGGGTGGTTGTCCGTCGGGTTTGTCAGGTCAGGTCATGCAGTAGGGTGGAGTTTGGGTTGGGTCCTGCTGCAGAGAGGTGATTGAGTACAGTTATTTTGCCTGAGTAACTACTTTACTTAAATTCCTTAGGTACCTTCCAGATGAAGACTAATTGCCCAGTTTCCGGGACAGTTGGTTTGTGCTTTGACGGGAATGCGCTACTCCTATTTACTTTGGCATAATGATGACTGTCAGCAGAAAATCCAGGCCATTATATCTTGCAGTACTAAACAATGCAGGCTTAAAACCTGATTTCTGGTCATTTGACTGATCTCAGCCAGAAAATACAAAATAAAATGTTGGAAATACTCAGCTGGCTAGTTGCAACTGTGAACAGTGGAGTTAATGCTTCAGTTCAAGGATCTGGTTCTGTGTCCATTAGTACTATATCTGCTGAATACGTTTAGTGTTTTCAGATTTTGTTTCTGAATACTAGCATCCTCAGTATTTTACTTCTGTGTAATTAGCTATTAACCTGAGCACCACGCCTGCTCCATCCAAAATTAGCACAAAGCAAGTCCGTCAACTTTGTGCTATTACTAAACACATAGCCTTGTTAAAAATTGTTAGAGGGGAACATGGAGTTTGAATGTAACATGTTCCATGGAAAAGTAGACATCGTTTCTTGCTTTCTCAGTCCGCAAATGAAAAATGGCCATTTTGGTGAGACATCAAAGGTGGCCTCTGCTTTTGGAGTTGAATTTCATTAGGAATGGAGGGGCAAAAATGAAAAAGTGGGTCAAAAGGTATTTCTATGGATGACAGGCATTTGGTGTAGTAAATTACTGGAGAGCTTTCAGTAAAACTGATTTATAGAATGTTGATCAAAATTAATTCTCAGCAATTGTTAACTTTAACTTTAAGATTTTAAGCGACATTATTATCTTTTAGCTGCTACAATAGTGAAAGGTATGTTTTGAAGAAATTAAAATCATTTTTAAATGATATTTTTAACGATATTATTATTCAGTGTACCTGGAGGGTTTTGAAGTTAAAATTGTAAATAAGTAATTAAGGCCAGTTCAGATAATTTGATTCAACTGTAAGCTACCAGGGTAAAGATAGTTCTTTAAACCTGAAAAAGACTGAGTATGCTTGAAGTAAAGTTTAATCACGTAATTATTTTACTGTATCTCACAAAGCTATAACCAAGCCTATTGTAACTTTTTACATGTATTATATCCTATTTTGGAGTGGGAGATGAATAAAAACTCCTTTTACATATTGTATACAAATATCCATGTACAAAGAAAAGTAATTCTATCTGTATATGTATTAATTTGACAATTGCAGGCTATTTTTAGAAGTCCTTTTGGAAATATTATTCATATGTGTTTATTTCCTCTTTTTAAGCCATTCGCTAGCAGTAAGATTCATGTGCAGCCTCAAGGTAAGGTGTGCAAACTGTTTCACTTACAGGATTAGTAGCCTTTTCAACGTGGTGTTATGAATTTTATCATTTTTATTTGTTTTTGCATGAATTTGCAGCAATATTTTGTTGAAACGTTTTAAATTGGAAGTTTTTGATCTGCCATATAAGTATGTGGAATTTTTTGCATTAATTAACTGCGCATTTTTAATAGGCCTACAGAAATAAAATGCAGCTCACTGTCTCAAATATACATTCAGTGAGAACCAGAAATCAGTATGCAGTTTTGTGATTTATAGTGAACTTAAAATTGCTTATCATAAAAACCCGTCAAATACTGTCAAAACATTTGAGGAATTGCATTTGATTATATTTGGTTAGCAATAAAAACAGCTGCAGTACTGTTCTAGCACAATGTCTGTATAATTCCTTCACTTAAATGTGCCACTGTGATGTGACTTACTTGTACTTCCCAATGACCACTGGACTGGTACAGCAAGTACAAATGGCATGCCCTTGGGGGTCAGTAGCTAAAGCACTAGTGGTGTTATATGTCACTGTTGAATGGATTTGGTGTGAAGATTTTGGTAATTAGAATAAAACTAAATTTTGCAGCATATTCCACTGCATTTATGAATGGGGGGATAAAAACAAAATGTGATGCTTTATCTTTTCAGATTTGTGCAACGTTTTCATTTGGATCAAAAGTCTTTACGTGCTTGATGCTCGGGTCCTTGAACCAAATAGTTTTATTCCGTTTTGTGTAATGCCTCAGTCTGCTTATGTACATGTAAATGCCATTACATTAAAGTGCACATTATAGTTTAGATATATCTTGTTTTTTTTTTTGCTGGAATATGTTTCCCTATGACAAAGTATTCCTGGGTAGTTGTCAATCCAAAGAAATTCATCCCTTTGATAACAGCTAATAAGTCAACCAGACATTTAGGATTCTTCAGTTTTTTGGTGCCAAATCTCATATTTCATCCTATACTCAGCAGAGGGCTAGCTGCCTAGAAGATGCACAGAAGTTGAAGACATGCTCACAGAAAGTAGGCAATCCATGGCAAACAAAGGACAATAATGGATGCCAGCTTTGTTTTTCACTGTGCAGAGCTGGATGAACACAGCAGGCCAAGCAGCATCATAGGAGCAGGAAGGCTGATGTTTCAGGCCTAGACCCTTCATCAGAAATGGGGGAGGGGAAAGCGGTTCTGAAATAAATAGGGAGAGAGGGGGAGGCGGATAGAAGATGGATTGCAGTGGGAGAGAGATCCCCTGAGATTTGTCCGGAGGGAGGAGGGTAACTTCTTCAGGCTAGACATCCTTAGAAGAGGCTTCGCAGTGGGGTTAAAATTGAATCAGAGGTAGTAGGAACTGCAGATGCTGGAGAAGGTGTTAGCAAAAACTACACATAAAATAACAGCTGCAGAGAGGGAATTTGGTGTCTTTGAAAAACTGGTTCGAGAATCGAAGAAGATGGAATCCACCCTGAAAAAGATATCCCAGACCAAATGTACCAGTAGAACAGCAACCAGTAGAACAGCAACCAGCCCCTGGCTTGATTTTGAGAAGTATGTATTGAAACGGGTCTTCGAAAATCTTTAGAATGATTACGGTGTCACCAGGAATGCAATCAATATGTGTGCACTTCAGTGGATCGAATCAAACCCAGAATTCAGCAAAAATTTCACAGCAACTGCTAGTTGGTATAACTGCTTTATGGATTGATAATAATATGTGTTGCGGTAGAACACCGAGGTTGCTCAGAGACTCCCAAAAGATGATGCAAATTTCACCAGTTTTCAGCAATTCATCATCGGGTAGCAGCAAAACCACTCATTCCTGAAATGTCACATTGCCAACATGGATGAAACAAATTTTAAAATGACTTGATTGTGGTTAAAGGTATCCTTGTTGAATTAATTCATTCAATATATGTGTCACATTAATTTAAGTTACAGGTGTTAAGCTTTATCATATTTGAAACTTGTGACCACTTATACTAACATCAGTTCACATTGTATACTACGCAAATAAGTCAGCTTTCATATCCAAAGGCTTTTCACTGCTTCAAAGATTGACTTTTACGCTGCAATCTGTGATACTATGTTACCTCTCATAGTATAGGAGTGCTAGGATTGGGCAAAGAAAAGTGGTCACAAAGGAATCCCACCTTCTCATTGGGGATATCATCCATTGTGTTGTGTGACACTACCAATCTGATAAATGGGATAGATTTCAAACAGATCAAGCAGCTCAAACTCGGCAACCAAACAGCTCTGTGAGCCATCAACAGCAGCTGAATTATATTTAACCACAATCTGCAACCTCATAGCCTGGCTTACCCCCCACTGATCCAATATTACCAAGCCATAGAATCAGTTAAAAGTGCATGGAGTCCATACCAGGAGTGTACCAGACACACCTAAAAATGATGTATGAAGCCTGTTGAAGTTCCAACGTAGGACACTTTACATGCTAAACACCATATCAGCATGCAATACACACAGCGAATTTATACAAAAACCAATGGATTAAAACTAAACCCTGCAGTCCTGCCACATCCTGGTGTGAATGGTAATAAATAATTAAACAACTAACAGGAGAAAGAGACTGCACAAATATCCCCATCCGCAACAATGGGGAGGCCCAGTACATCAGTGCAAAAGACAAAGCTGAGCATTTGCAACTGTCTTTTAAGTCTGATGCTCCATCTCCATGATATCAAGAAATGGCAGAAGGCACTAGATGCAGCAAAGCTGTAAGGCGTGAAAACATTCCAGCAATGGTACTTAAGACCTCTTCCAGAAATTACCTGTCTCTAGCCAGTCTGTTCCAGTATAGGACTGCACAGTAATATGGAATATTGCCCAGGTATGTCCTATCCACAAAAAGCAGGACAAATCTAATCACCGCCTTATCTATCTATTCTGGATCATCAGGAAAATGAATGAAGGGGCAACTGACATCCTGTCAAGCAGCATTTATTCAATGAGAATTTGTTCATTAAAGTTTGGTTTGAGTTCCGCAAAGGCCACTCAGCTCCTGTCCTCATTATAGCCTTGCGCCAAACATGGGAATAAAAGAGTTGAACCAAAGAGGTGAAGTAAAAAGATCTCCCTTTGACAACAAGGCCACATTTGATTGACAATGGTATCAACAAGCCGTAGCAAAACTGAAGACATTGGGACCAAGAGACAAAACTCTCCTACTGGTCAGAGTCACACCTGATACAAAGGAAGATTCTGGTTGCTGGAATTTATTCATCTCAGTTGTGAAACATTATTGCAGGAGTTTCTCAGGATATTGTCTTAGAATCATTCATTTTCAGCTGCATCATTAATGTACTGACCCGTCATAAGGTCAGAAGTGGGGATGTTTGCTAATGATTGCACAATGTTAGGAACAATTTGCAACTTCTCACACACTGAAGCAGCCCATGCTCATGCACAGCCAATATCCAGGTTTGGGATGATAAGTGACTCGTAACAATTTGCACACAAGTGCCATTCAATTACATCTCCAACAAGAGAAAATTTTATCATTTTCCTTTGATATTCAATTGTATTACCATAACTGAATCCCCTGCCATTCAGCCCATCGAGTCTGCTCCGTCATTTAATGAGATCACAGATCACATTCAACGTGATCTGATAATCCTCAACTCCACTTTCCTGCCTTTATTGCCGTGACTCTTGATTTCCTTACTAATTAAAAATTGATCTATCTTAGATTCATAGAATTTCTACAGTGTGGAAACATGCCATTTGGCCCAACAAGTCCATATCGCCCCTCCGAAGAGCATCCCACCCAGAACCATACCCCAACCCCTGCATTTCCCATGTCTGACCCACCTAACCTAAACATCCCCAGACACTATGGGCAATTTAACATGGCCAATCCATTACACTGCACATCTTTGACTGTGGGATGAAACCGGAGCACCTGGAGGAAACCCACGCAGACACGGGGAGAATGTGCAAACTCCACACAGACAATCGCCCCAGGGTGGAATCGAACCCGGGTCCCTGGTGCTGTGAGGCAGCAGTGCTGACTGCTGAGCCACCGTGCTGCCCCCAGACATTAGTGAACCAGCTGGGTTTTTCCAACAATCAACAATCAACAATGGATTCACAGTCATCATTAGACTCTTAATTCCAGATATTTATTGAGTTCAAATTCCACCATCTTCTGTGGCGGGATTCGAGCCTTGGTCCCCAGATCATTATTTGGGTCTCTCGATTAACAGTCCAGTGACAATACCACTAGGCCATCGCCTCCCCATCTTGAGTGTATTTAACAGCCCACCCTGCACTAGAAAGCATATGTTGGAAATTCAACCAAGCACTCTGTACTGTATCAGTAAGTACAATTTTCCCAATAGTAAGTCAGATTGTTGTCTATATCTGAATATCCAATGTGCAATCTCAGCCATGTTGGCTCCACTCTTAATATATAATGTTATTTCTTGCGTTTGGTTTATCCTTTTAGAAATAGTTTTTTTGCATTGCAAAAGTCAGTCGGCATATTATTAGTTCTGTCCTAAAAATTGTCCTTTCTGTTAACCTCACGCAGTTTTTTTTTCCTTTTTATGGCCACAACTTGTGCTGTTCCCTCCTCCCATCAGGAAGGTATGATATCCTAGATTGCCATTATTCCCAACATTTGCAGTCCAGCTTCTAATTATATCTGGCAATGCAAAAGAGCGCATCCAGATTTCAAAACCTGTCATTAGAAAGTTATCTCTAACTATTAGATTAATTTATTTTGTTAATTGTCACTCATTCTGATAGGTTACATAATTGTTTTCAACACCATCACTCAATAGGTGGTAAAGGTATTCATGCTCAAAGGAATAACTTTTCGAGTTTTGTAAAGGGATCCATTCAAGTTAAGAAAGGGTGTGATCGATAGGAAATTACTGAACAGTTACAATGTTTAATTGTTCTTGTGTTCTTTTTGTCCTCTCTTTCCTTCAAACGGACCCCAGCCATTGTAACAAAGCCTTCCACAAAATTTAACTGGGAAGAATTTCTTCAAAGTTCAGGTATGATTTTTTGATGCTGAATTCATCAGGGTCTATCTTTTTTTATTTGAAATATATAAATAGCATGAGTTTAGATTGTGTTGCCTAATATTATTTTGGGAGATCTGATTCTTAACAATAATAATATTGTGAAGTTTTTACTACAAACAAAATGGGGTGGAGTAATTTGTTGCGTGGGGTGTGAGTGTATCACCAAAACAAAAATTAAGAATGGTTTGTATGCTCCCTTAAGGTTTTGTAAGGGATGTTGACAGGAGTGGAGGGTTTAACCTATAAGGATAGGCTGGATAAGCTGTGACTTTCTTCACTGGAGCGTAGGAAGTTGAGGGGTGACCTTATAGAGGTTTTTAAAATCATGAGGGGCATGGATAAGGTGAATAGCAAAAGTCCTTGGTTAAAACTAGGGGGCATATTTTTAAGGTGAGAGGAGGAAGATTTAGAAGGGAACTGAGGAGCAACTTTTCCACACAGAGGGTGGTTCATGCGTGGAATGAACTGCCAGAGGAAGTGGTAGATGCAAGTTTAGTTACAACATTTAAAAGACATTTAGATAAGTGCATGAATAGGAAATGTTTAGAGGGATATGGGCCAAATGTAGGCAAATGTATCTAGTTTAATTTGAGAAACTTGGTCTGCATAGACGATTTGGACTGAAGGGTCTGTTTCCGAGCTGTATAACTCTATGACTTTGATTCTCTGACCAACTAAAAATGGATTGCATTGTATTTTTGTCTTCTGATGCAGGTAGCAATTGTAGAAATTTAAAGACATTGCTTATCAGTCCACATTGACCACCAATTAGATAATCACATCAATTCTCAGTGAAGGATAACTTTTAAAAAATAGATTCAAGCTTCTCGTTATTGGCTGAAAGAATGACAGAGCAAGATTTCATGGTTTAAAACTTTTATTGTAACAAATGGCTAAAAGCACTCTTCATTGAATGCAATTTCTTTTTGTCAGCAATTTGTATTTTACATTACAGAAAGGAACATTCTCCTTTAGACACATCACACTTTCCATAGGATTACAGCCTTTATAGCAAACAATCCTAGCAGTACAGGTTTTGATTCCACCACTGACTTTCACAATGAGGGCCATATTAAAATTCCTTCCCACTAGCCAAAACTAGGCGAATCTTCCAACCACTCTTAAATCTTCACAAATTCAGTTGCATTGTTCTGAGCCTTAGCTACTACTGTGTTCTGAATGCTGAGCAATAGAGTCAGCATTTTCTCTGCTTCTAGTGCAGGACTGGATGCATCTGTCACTTGCTCTTTGCCTCTTAGATTGCTGCAGAACATTCTAAACAAAACTACTGTCTGTGATAATTCATTGATTTTTTTTTGGGAAGCCTGTAATCTGGTATCAAAAATAGTTTCCTTTGCTTTCTTCCTAATGGCAATGTGAAACACAGTTAGCCTTCTAATGTAGGGAACGAAACTGCAGTCCTTACCTGGTCTGGCCTACATGTGACTCCAGACCCACAGCAATATGGTTGACTCTGAACTGCTTTCTGGGCAATTAGGGATGGACAGTAAATGCTGCCTAGCCAGCAACATCCTCATCCTGTTAATGAAGAAAGGAAAAAAAGATTGAAATGCTAATTAGCTGTCTTTGATCTCACTTTCCCTCGTCTTATAAGTAAATGGATAGGTCACAGCATAACTGCTTAAAATCTGATACCTGTAACAGCTCTCTGGGACTTTGGGAGACTTAGAGTTTATTCATCATAAAGAGACTGCTGATATTATCTCTAGGTACCTTGTACTACGCTCTTAGTAAAACACTCCAGGCCTTTCTTTGATCCAAACATTTAGGTCTATGTTCAGACAGACTGCAGAGCAGATCACATTACCTCATTTGATTTGATTTCTTTTATTATTGTCACATGTACCTAGGTACAGTGAAAAGTTTTATTTTGCATGCAGTATAGGCAGATCATACCGTACAAAGTGCATTAGGGTAACAGAACAGAGTGAAGAATACAATATTACGGCTGCAGAGAAGGTGCACAAAAAAGCAAGATCAACATTAAATTTAAAATCAAGAGGTCCATTCAGAAGTCTAATAACAGCAGGGAAGAAACTGTTCTTGAATCTGACGGTACATATGTTTAAGCTTTTGTATCTTCTGCCCAATGTAAGGTTGGAAGAGAGTATAACCAGGCTGGGAGTGGTCTTTGATTATGTTGGCTGCCTTCGCAAGGCAGGAAGAAGTATAGATGGAGTCAATGAATTGAAAGTTGGCTTGCGTGATGGACTGGGCTGTGTTCATAATTTTCTGTAGTTTCTTACGGTCCTGGGCAGAGCAGTTGCCATACCGAGCCATGATGCATCTGGATAGAATGTTTTCTGTGGTGCAACTATAATATTTGGTAAGAGTCTTTACGGATATGCCGAATGTCCTTCGTCTCCTGAGGAAGTAGAGACATTGTTGTGCTTTCTTGACCACACTGTCAACATGGGTGGACCAGGACAGATTGTTGGTGATCATCACTTCTAGGAACTTGACATTCTCAACCATCTCCACTTGGTCATCCACTTTTCTCCACTCTGTCATTTACCTTAAGTTTAAAGTCACAAAATATTATAATCCATGAACAAAAAGGTACAGTTTCAAGATGTAACCTTATAAACCCCCTGATTGTAACACCTTCTCATCAGATCCTGGTAGCAATTTTACGAATACAAACAAGGCAGCCAAATTTCTTAATTCTCTGCCATTGCTCACACCACACAGTGGCTGTCTTTCTTCCAACCCCATCACTGTATCCCAGCCAATAACTTCCAGCCATTGTTTTCATCAGTACATGCTGTAGCAGTTCCCAGAAATTCCTCTTTCAGTTTTTGATCCAGTACTTTATAACGGCCATGTTGCCATTTTTGTTGACCTTGCAATATCAATTGAGTAAATTAGCAATAATGAGAAACAAAGCAGGTTTTAGATACACAAAACAAAAGCACACAGAAGGAGGCTCAATGTGATAAGGTATTTGATGCAAATGAAGTGACAAGGACAGTACCAAGAGAAAAGGCAACGGAGTGAAAGATCCAAGCAGAAAGAGACAAAGAATAAGAAATCAAGAGAAAGGTAATTAACAGAATTTTTTTACTTTTAACTTCTGCCTTGGGCAACACTGTGGAGCATCCATTAATCTGACTTGTTTTTTATGTAGTCTTATTGTAGTGTTCAGTAGAAGAAAACTTTGCAAATGACAGGCAAAACACTTTCGTAATAGCAGCTAATGGCAAAATACTAATAATAAATTGCTGATAATATTATTGGCAATCTTTTAAGTGAAGGCTTCTGTTTTGAAAACAGGGATTTTGATAATGAAAGGTTAATAGATATACCTTCCTTAAGTGTATTTTATTCTTCTTGCTCTATTATCACATGTCTAAAACTGATTTCAGTATTTTGTGTGTGTTGTAAGGCATAACTTCCATTGCCATTTCCTGTTTTGAATGTAGCAGGGCAGTAGGTGTCCTTCACCTATACCCTATAATAATTGGCAACTATTGACATATATGAATTCTTTACGTGTAGTAAGCAGTTTATACTCAAGGATTCATTTCTGAGCTGTAGGCATAACAAAGCTGTGAAAACATGTACATTTCCATTTCTCTTGTTGAATGATCAGCATGACTTTTTAATAAATGTTTAATGGTTAGTCCTTAAGATGATATTAACTTGGATAAGAGTATAAGCTGAATAATGATTAAAGATGTTGTAATGTTTCTGATCATAATAAATATCACAATTTATGGTAATTATTCTCACTGGATTGAATGGCACAATTTAACAGCAGAGTATTTATAGTAAAAAAAATTAATATTAAAAGCTTCAGCCTGATTAGCAGTCAAGTATTCCCAGCATGTCAAGATTGATGTATGAAGAGAGGTTGGATCAGCGGGAACTATGTTCACTGGAGTTCAGAAGAATGAGTGGGGATCTCATAGAAGTCTATAAATTTTTAACGGGATTAGATGAGGTAAATGTAGAAAGGATGTTCCTGATGACTGAAGTGTCCAGAACCAGGGGTCACAGTCTAAACATATGGGTAGGGCCTTTAAGACTGAGATGAGGGGAAATTTCTTCACTTAGAGACTGGTGAGCCTGTGGCATTCTCTGTTATAAAAAGTAGTCGAGGCCAACTCATAGAATGTTTTCAAAAAAGAGTTGAATCTAGTTCTTGGGGCCAGAAGGATCAAAGAGTATGGGGAGAAAGCAGGAACAGACTACTGAGTTGGATGATCAGCCACGACATAGTGAATGGCAAAGCAGGCTTTAAGGGCCAAATGGCCTTTTCCTGTTCCTGTCTTCTGTTTCTGTTTCTGTGTTGAATATTCCAAAACAGTCTTCCTTAGTAACCTTTTTTTTTAAAACTCTGTTAATTTCTCTGCAGAGCTTAGTTTATTACTTTCTCCTTTTCAAAGGAAGTTCATTTTAAAGAAAGTCTTGTTTTGCTTTATCAAAGCCTCATCTAGGATGAAAATGTTTTGTTGCACTGAATGCATAGAAGTAACAATGTGCAGAATTTTCCCACACTGAATGACATGAGCATTGGTGAGAAAGTTTTGGAAAATCTTGTGAGATCAGTTGTGAGGACTTCTCGATGCTGAGAGCAATATGTCCCATTTTTCAACCAAATCTTAAACAGCAAGGCAACATTCTCCCATACAAGAGGCCTTTTGCGTGTATTAGCATGTATTGACACCTCATTAGATCATAAACCATAAGATGTAGGAGCAGAAATAGGCCATTCAGCCAATTGAGTCTGTTCAGCCATTCAGTAACATCATGTCTGATCTGATAATCTGACAAATGGCTAATCTGCCACACTTATGTGCAAATCTCTAACCTACTGGCTAGAAACTAGATGCTAATAATTCGCAAGTTGGAGAGGTCAGCTGGTGACTCCAGCTTGCTGTTAACATGTCCAACCTTTCACTTTGAACACCAGTCACCAACATCTCAGGAAACACTCCGTATGCAGC